ATCCATCAAACAGCGTACACTTACCATAACCAAAAATTAGCTTTAAACTAAGAAATGTTTTTGTAGTTTAATATCCAAATTTCATTGGCCCCTAACGTATATGTTAGCTGTACAGGAAATGTGGCTGTTAATATCCAGCCCTGCCTTATGACGTTGAATTTCACTAGCTGGAGATAAAGCTTTGCCAGAGTGGCGTAGTTTAACGTAGATGTTGAGGACTACATTAGCTGGAGATAAAGCTCTACCAGATAGGCGTAGTTTAACGTAGATGTTGAGGACTACATTAGCTGGAGATAAAGCTCTACCAGATTGGCGTAGTTTAACGTAGATGTTGAGGACTACATTAGCTGGAGATAAAGCTTTACCAGAGTGGCGTAGTTTAACGTAGATGTTGAGGACTACATTAGCTGGAGATAAAGCTCTACCAGATTGGCGTAGTTTAACGTAGATGTTGAGGACTACATTAGCTGGAGATAAAGCTTTACCAGAGTGGCGTAGTTTATCGTAGATGTTGAGGACTACATTAGCTGGAGATAAAGCTTTACCAGAGTGGCATAGTTCAACGTAGATGTTGAGGACTACATTAGCTGGAGATAAAGCTTTACCAGAGTGGCGTAGTTTAACGTAGATGTTGAGGACTACATTAGCTGGAGATAAAGCTCTACCAGAGTGGCATAGTTCAACGTAGATGTTGATGACTACATTAGCTGGAGATAAAGCTTTACCAGAGTGGCATAGTTCAACGTAGATGTTGAGGAATACATTAGCTGGAGATAAAGCTTTACCAGAGTGGCGTAGTTTAACGTAGATGTTGAGGACTACATTAGCTGGAGATAAAGCTCTACCAGAGTGGCATAGTTCAACGTAGATGTTGATGACTACATTAGCTGGAGATAAAGCTTTGACAGAGTGGCGTAGTTTAACGTAGATGTTGAGGAGTACGTTAGCTGGAGATAAAGCTTTACCAGAGTGGCATAGTTCAACGTAGATGTTGATGACTACATTAGCTGGAGATAAAGCTTTACCAGAGTGGCATAGTTCAACGTAGATGTTGATGACTACATTAGCTGGAGATAAAGCTTTACCAGAGTGGCGTAGTTTAACGTAGATGTTGAGGACTACATTAGCTGGAGATAAAGCTCTACCAGAGTGGCATAGTTCAACGTAGATGTTGATGACTACATTAGCTGGAGATAAAGCTTTGACAGAGTGGCGTAGTTTAACGTAGATGTTGAGGACTACGTTAGCTGGAGATAAAGCTTTACCAGAGTGGCATAGTTCAACGTAGATGTTGATGACTACATTAGCTGGAGATAAAGCTTTGACAGAGTGGCGTAGTTTAACGTAGATGTTGAGGACTACGTTAGCTGGAGATAAAGCTTTACCAGAGTGGCGTAGTTTAACGTAGATGTTGAGGACTCTCAGCTCTGCAGTCAATTACAGTCAAAGCTGAGCTCGCTGACTTATTCATAACAATAGATTGTGTACGAGAACAAGGCTCTGTGAACCCCGTTGTAACACGCTTGGGAAATATGAGCTCTAATTATTTTACTTATTTCATGTAGTCGCAACTTGGAGAAGATAGTTTCCTTTGTGCTTTACCGAAACCTTTATATTTGTAAAATGAAACTGTGATTGCATAAAGTTAAACATTATAAGAATAGTAAACATAATACTTGACTCAAAACAAAAAATATAATCATGCTCTAAGTCCCGTTATATAACACCAACATTAATTTTATTAAATGTTTCATATCCCTCTGAAGATGTCTCAGAAAACAAGATATTGACCAAGGAATTATAAAAACGAGTGATTGAAATAATTCTCGATGCGAGTGATAACACCCATTGTTTAAGTTTCCTTCCATTAGGCAAATTAAATTGAATCATTCGACTGCTTCCGATTTATCTGAGAGAATTTATTTCTTTGACGTGCGATACTGAGTTATACAGGGTGTTGAAAATGTCTGGAACCAACATTATATCTGGTGAGTGGTTAAAGAAAAACAACTGATATTTTGTATACGGATATACTATGGTTTTACCTATCTTTTGGTGCCTTATGACATTTTTTACCACTTATAGGGAACGTCCCGTAGAGGATGCAGTAAAAAGTTTTAATGGAAGCCTATGGTAAATGATACATCATTTTAAAGGCAATTTTTTTCTGAGTAAGGAGCCACAAGTTTCATCTCAAAAGGACCACCCTAGCAAAAATGGCGACTGTTTGAAATTTAAAAACCCACTTATAGGGAACGTCCTGTGGAGGATGCAGTAAAAAGTTTTAAAGGAAGCCTATGGTAAATGATACATCATTTTAAAGGCCATTTTTTTCTGAGTAAGGAGCCACAAGTTTCATCTCAAAAGGACCACCCTAGCAAAAATGGCGACTGTTTGAAATTTAAAATTCAATTATTTTCAAAAACTTCAAACAGTCACCATTTTCGCTAGGGTGGTCCTTTTGAGATGAAACTTGTGGCTCCGTACTCAGAATAAAATGGCCTTTAAAACGATGTATCATTTACCATAGCCTTCCATTAAAACTTTTTACTGCATCCTCCACAGGACGTTCCCTATAAGTGGTAAAAAATGTCATAAGGCACCAAAAGATAGGTAAAACCATAGTATATCCGTACACAAAATATCAGTTGTATTTCTTTAACCACTCACCAGATATAATGCTGGTTCCAGACATTTTCAACACCCTGTATAATAATATATTATACAAAGTATTATATACAGGGTGTTTTTTTAAAAACTTGCATCTTTATTTATGTAAAAACCGCAATAGATAGAAATATGCAGTTTTCGGGAATCATCTATTGACGTAGGGGGACCAATTGTTTTGAATTCAACGTTACATTCACATTCCCCCCCTTCCCCCCAGCCCCCAACTTAATTTTTTTTTAAATAGCAAGGTACCCATTGTGACATATCAAATAAAAGAGCATGAAAAAAGAAAATGTTTGATGAAAAAAAATTAAAAATCGGTTCATAAATTTTTGAGATATTCCCCCCCTCACCCCCCCGGAACTTAATTTTTTTTTTATAGCAAAGTACCCCTTGTGACATATCAAATGAAAGAGCATGAAAAAAGAAAAATTTTGGTGAAATTTATTTTTCATTTGATATGTCACAAGGGCGGGTACCTTGCTATTAAAAAACAAGTTATGGGTAGGGGAAAAGGGGGGTGATTATCTCACAAATTCATGAGCCGATTTTAAATTTTTTTTCACCAAAAATTTTCTTTTTTCATGCTCTTTCATTTGATATGTCTCAAGGGGTACTTTGCTATAAAAAAAAAAATTAAGTTCCGGGGGGGTGAGGGGGGAATATCTCACAAATTTATGAACCGATTTTCAATTTTTTTTCATCAAACATTTTCTTTTTTTTATGCTATTTTATTTGATATGTCACAAGGGGTACCTTGCTATTTAAAAAAAATAAGTTGGGGGCAGGGGGGGAAAGGGGGGGAATGTGAATGTAACGTTGAATTCAAAACAATTGGTCCCCCTACGTCAATAGATGATTCCCGCAAACTTCATATTTCTATCTATTGCGGTTTTTACATAAATAAAGATGCAAGTTTTTAAAAAAACACCCTGTATAATAAGTAACAATGCATTATGATGTTTCAATTAATGTGTTGCAAAATGAACCCACTTGTCCGTTTATGAAGACTTTGTTTAGATAACCTATAGTTATTTAGTGGATAGAGTGTTTTACATACTAATTATGTTTCATATTTCTGAATTAACGTTTGCTTTTTATAGAAAATGGCAGGTCGAGAGGGGATAAGCATTTGTGTTTCTGCCTTATAAATCCGACATATATTTTGTGACGTTGACGACCTATTACACTGTACGAGAGAAAAACGGTTTTCTGTAACACCTACGTTAGTACAGACTTATAAAAGCTCTTCTATCGACATTAATGTTTGAAAGGTTCTTAAAAGACAATTTGAAGCCTAACACTTACGTAAATAGACATCAATGTTTGTTGTCAAGTTACCTTGGTGTTATTGAAATAAAATCAATATATAACAGTTAAGTGGTATTTTCCTTACATATTAATGTGCTTGCAAGCTGTTGTGGGACCAAGCTTTCATTAAATTATGTTGTTATTATAAAGATTAATAAATTAACTATTATTTATATGTATAAAACTTACAACAGATGCTAACCTGATGTTATCTACTAATTGTGCATTGATGGTTTAAAGTACAACGGATTTTAAAATATATTTCTGATGGAAAATATTTGAATGTACAACGAACGATACATTGCTTATTATCGGCTGAAAATTTCGAAATCAGGAAATGGAAACGGAGTGTATTATTGCGTAAAGATAGCATTGTTGATATAACTCTTGCGTGTGAATACAGCTTGGTAAATGAAAACTGTTCATCACTGTCTAGCAAGAGACGTGGGTTATACGGACAGGTGATTGCTTAAACCAGTTACAAAACAAGATTATTGTTGTTTCTATACATAAATACTGCATTAAACGTATTCTTCAGTAGAATTACTTAGAGAATAATTCATCGATAAGACTTTGTCAGCTCTCATAACACGAGATTGTAAGGCAGATTATTACCATCCATATCCCGGGTTATACATTGTGCACTGCAATATGAGTTACAAAAGCCATAAAAGTGATGTTATGAATATCGTAAGTCTCATATGAGAAAGACTGTAGCAATAATTCGACCGAGAGAGCAGCTGGCCGCAAGCAATATGTTGTTACGAGGCGGCTCCAAACAACTGTGTTTGTAAACAACGCCAAGGTCCGAAATTATTCTGTTGTGCTACCGTATATGCATGGTTTAAGATACACCGTAGACTGCATCCTTAAATAATACACTGAATTGGTATTTGTAAATGTATATCTTTTACGAGTATTGCTCTGGAATGGATTATTATTTTAGTATAGTATAAATATTTAAAATCACTGAATTTACTAGGTTTTTAGCCATACTAATGTATAATATTTTGTTTCAGGTGTCTGTTTATGCTGATTGAGAGATCCACGTGCACACAGATCTGCAAACAGAAAGTTGTTTAAAGAAATTTCAAACCGAATAATTTTAATAATTAAAAGTAAGGATATCTGCCGCCAGCTTCCCTAAAGTGTAAATAGAAATTCATGAGTGTACAATGTCAAACATAATCTATATAACAGCAAAATACGGAAAACAATAGGGAAAATTAAACGTTGATTCAGTTATGTTTTAAAACATTTTTGAAAGATAGTCTCTAAGCACCGAGTGATCCTGATTTTCATCCACTATGAAAACCGAAGTAACAACGATGTCAGGATATGTCAAGTGAAGTGACACAGTTGATCAACTCAAGTGTGCTAGTGGTAGGCAACTCCTCCGACAACTACACTGGCGACGATGACCAGTCCAACCACAACCAGTTCATCCTGCCTCTGTGGAAGCAGTTGCTGTGGACGTTCCTGTACGCTGGCATGGTTGTGGTGGCCACCGGAGGCAACTTGATCGTCATATGGATAGTGCTGGCTCACAAGCGCATGAGAACTGTCACCAACTACTTCCTGGTCAACTTGTCCGTCGCTGACGCCATGGTCTCCACTCTCAATGTCACCTTCAACTTCGTCTACATGCTCAACAGCGACTGGCCCTTCGGCACCCTCTACTGCAAGATCAGCCAGTTCGTCGCCGTACTCTCCATCTGCGCCAGTGTCTTTACCTTGATGGCCATCTCGATAGACAGGTTAGTCGCTTCTATGTTCTTCATTTGAATAAAATCATATTATGTAAACAAGCTTTGCTTAAAATAGTATGGGTGTAACTTACCTTTTATTCCAGGAAATAAAACGCATAACTTCTTTTTTAGTTACTCAAGTATTTCACGCATTTACGTACATACAACTATTGTTGTAGATGTGGCAAAGGGTTGTTATGTGTACATATTTTCCCTTATAGCAATGCACTGAAGGTAAGAAAATGTCAAAATAATGCTAAACTCATTCAAGTCTCACTGTATGGAAATAATCATGAAGAAAGAATTACTGTGATCAGAATTACTTCATCAGAATTACATTAGTGTGATTTGTTCCTCTTTATTATAAAATAAAACAATTTTTTATAGTTCTTGTAAAACGATTTATTTATAAATTGACGAGGATTAATTTAAAAGCTAGCCAATTCGCTTCTTGATAGTTAACAACTGGCTTAAACTTAATTAGCGACATTTACAAAATACTCATTAACATATATTTACTGTCTGCATTTACTAAGCATTTAGATTCATTTGAATTTTTCTTTTATTTTATTTTTAATGTAACAAAATGGATGGCTTTATGAGCATGTGTTACTATTCCTTTCTCATATCTCCTTTGCTTTAACGTAACCCACATTGCAGTTTATAAGCTCTTGTTCAAAGCTTAAAAGCAAAATATATATTTGTTGTCCAGAATACTTACCCAGGCAATTTTAGTTATACTCTACTTACATCGATAATCCAACAAAGTAAAAAAACAACCTCTCCTTATATAAGCCTATATAATTATAATTTTATAATTATTATTTTATAATTATAAATTATAACTAAGGTGTTTATTAGTAGTTTAGGTCTTGTAGATTCCATTAAAACGATACGCACATCAATAATATAACATTATTTTTGTAACAACAAACTGATTATTTTACATTTTACAATACGTGGAGTAAATCAATATTTATGTTGTTTAATTTATTCTTAAGCTATTTTTAGTTTTGATTCACATACTGCTCTTTACAAAACTGCTATGTTGAATATTGATTCAACAGTATTGGGACGCATACAAACGAATTGAATATCAAACGCATTCATTCAAACGCAATATTAAATATCAAAATATTGAATAACGTCTACGTATGGCATGAATATCAAATATGCTCTCCACCTATGCATATTTGCGTTTGTAAGTTTTTTTTTTTGTAACTGGTTGTTTCAAATTTTACATAGATCCAAAGAAAACCACAAAGTTAGGATTTTTACCATTTTTTAACCATTGTCCAGATTTTCCTTTGATGATCAAGAAAAACATCTAGAAGGCACGATATTTATGAACTAAGATATATGTATATTTTCATACAAGTTACATAATACGTTATTATTGTTTCTATTATCTTTACCATCTGCTTATTTTTAATGTTGCGAAGTTTTATAGTAAACGCGTCAAATAACGACTGTGTTTACTACTCATTACAGTTACATGCATTTATGAACATTATTTCTCACTAATTAATTCATTCAGCTCTTCACGTAATGTTTATGTTTATATTTCGGTTTCAGCTTGCGTACTTTCTATGATACACAAACACATCATATATTTCACCCACAACTATCTGCACTGGTACAGTAAATGTCCCTTGTCCAGGTACATGGCTATAATTCACCCCTTGAGACCCAGGATGGGGCGTCGGGCTACTCTCGCCATTGCAATCGCCATATGGATCGTCGCCTCCATCTTCTCCATACCACAGTTCATCTTTTTTACTACATATGTACAAGAATTCCCCAACGGTGACCAAAGAATCATCTGCTACAGTGAATGGCCTGACGGTCCGACCACCGAGAGTTACCAGGAATATTTGTAAGTATCTGAAACATATTGTATTAGGAAAGATTTGTATAATTAATTATTACCTAGACGTAAAGAACGTTTCAAACTATATCAGTGGGAAACGGCCTTGTAGTCATTGTTTCACATAATGTTGTCCAAGCATATACAGTACGCTTTACATTTCTTTGTTATAAAATTATTACAGAGCAATTTTAACCCTAAGCTAGCTTACTAATCAAAGCTGGATGTTTTATGGTTTCCCATTTAAAATTTGTTTAGTTATTTAGTGAATTACAAAAGTAATGTGGTTATGACAAAGGAAATTGGATTCATGCTAAATAATTTACGAATTATTTAAATTTAAACGTGGATGGTACAAAGTCCACCGTTAAATATTCCGTTCATAAAAGGAAACAAATAACTTATTTCAGAGCGTGTAACCATATCGTTACCTGAAACCTTTGGTAGTGGGAGTAACCCAAAATCATATAGCATCTGATATAATAAAAGAGCAGATATAATACAAACATGATTTATTTCAGGTACAACGTACTGTTTATGATCGTCACTTACTTCTTGCCAATCTGCTCAATGAGCTTTACCTACGTCAGAGTGGGTCTGGAGCTGTGGGGGAGTCAGAGCATCGGAGAGGCCACGCAGCGACAAATGGAGAACATCAAGTCCAAGAGGAGAGTAAGTACCTAACTAACTGTCTAAATGTAACGCATTTAATGCCAGTTTAAAATAAATATTCGGCCTATTACATATACATGTAGTATATGTAGTACGACAAATATGGTAACTTCCCACAAAAGTAAAAAACTAAGGTCAAATTGTAGGCTGCTATGATTTTTTTCGTAGACAAAGAAATTTATTTTGGAACTTTATTAACTCGTTAACAGTTGTCAATCTTTATAGTGTCTACACATTTATTATGTTCTGTGGATAATGATTTCTACATAGACTTAAAAGTATAGTTGACCTACTTGTTGCAGTGCAGTTAGGAGCAAACCAGTGTAATGGATCGAGTGACCATTTGTGTTGGTAACGGTACCAAGCACAACCTTGTTAAGCTATAAGATCAGGTGAAATATATGAACGGAACAGAGAGTGGAATATAACTATGTACTTAATCTGAGCTTATGCCATTGCACAGCTGTGTAGCGCAGGTGGACCCGGCAGTCGATTGTACATTACTGTGCATAGATCTTGGCCTAATACTGTACTTGCTACCTGAATTAAAAACATGTTTATGTCCTACTGGCACGACCTAGGAAGTTACGCTCGAACCCATATATCTGTATTACACATTACTTCAGACAAAGAATAGAAGGTATTGTCACGTATCTTCACTAAAATAAATGTCATTAGATGATTGATGAGATTTATGAAACTCAGGTACCCAAATTTCAAGCTACACAGGATCAGCTTACTCCCGGAAGTAAAACCTTGTAGTATATTCAGGCGCTCAATGCAGCGCAGGTGGGCTGTGACTGTTTGTTTGTAGTTCGATTTTTACTGATGATAATGGAACTTAACCTAGGTTTGTGTATAGAAACTGAAAAAATATGATATGTACGATTATAGTTTAGAAACGTATCGCCCATAACTGTAGCTTGAAAAAATAGTGCAGCGAAAGCGTCGTCGGTCTTGCGCCCATTACTGATGGGAATGGCACATAGCCTCCATACTACAGTGTTGCCTGAGGTGAAATGTTATAATGTGTGCAGTATACAGTGTAAAGGCGTCTCTCGGAACTGTATCTAGACCACTTAGTGTAACACAGGTGGACCGCGACCGCGTCGGTCGAGTGTCCATTACTGATGGTAATGGCTCATAGCCTCATACTACAGTGTTGCTATAACCTGAGGTGAAATGTTATGATGTGTGCAGTATACAATGTAAAGGCGTCTCTCGGAACTGTATCTAGACCACTTAGTGTAACACAGGTGGACCACGACCGCGTCGGTCGAGTGCCCATTACTGGTGGTAATGGCTCTTAGCTTGAAACTGTGTTCTCATAAACTCAGGTGATAAAGCAAATTCATATCTTGCTTTTGAACTCATTTAATGCGAAACATCATTTGTAACAGTTATTTTAACTTTTGTTTCATGAACATACAAATCGTTGCATAAAACACAGTTTTCTTAAGCCATATTATACAAATCTATGTAGGATGTGATTGTGTTTGTACATCAAATTTTACCTTATGTTGTAGCCTATTCGTTAAATTTAAAAAAACCCTCAATACGATTTTGCTCTTTATATTTTACATCTAAAATGTGATAGGATGAGTGGCGGTAGCCCTATGATTATGTTTATGACTTTTACATGATGTCCTCTGCAGGTAGTGAAGATGATGATAGTAGTGGTGTTGATCTTCGCCGTATGCTGGCTGCCGTTCCACATCTACTTCATCATCACCTCACATATACCGGAGATCACCAACTCCCCCTACATACAGGACATATTCCTCTTCATCTACTGGCTAGCCATGTCCAACTCTATGTACAATCCCATCATATACTGTTGGATGAATATGAGGTAACGTATATGAATCTTGTCAGAAATGTATAGTGTTGCCCTTTAAATTCATTGCGAAACTATGATGTTCCCTAGACATAAGTATGAGAGGAGACATTTTTAATGAAGGTAAATAAACGAGATAAACTAACGAACGAGGTCTAAGGAGATAAACGAACTACTTTTGTAATAAACTAAAAAATATGTATTCATTCAAGAATACTAACTAAATCATATTTTTACTGTTAAAAGTATTACGCATCAAAAATAAATTTATTATCTTAAAAGCCTTCAAATGTTCTCGTATCACTGAATAAACTTTACTTTATAATGTCATTTCAACTTATATTTCAATAAAATGTGCATGCATATGATTTTAAGGTGGGAAACACAGTTCATTGTACTAGGATTGTTCCAACAAGAATCAATTCATTCTGTTGACTCATGTTTCCTCGATTGTAACAGCCAACTTTCTGCTCCAAATCACGACTACTCTATTCATGAATAAACATTGAGACAAATCCGCCTTTGCCTCGCTACGCATTCGCTATTCTGGCCCTTCCCAAAGGGGTAATCGTTCGAGAAAGTTCGAAAACATACTGTTTAAACTCTTTTTCAAATCAGTAAACTCTCTTTAGCTATCATAAACTTAACATTATTCAAATATATAAACAAGTCGTGATAATATGTAAAATGTCAATAACATAAATAATAAATATCCTACAGTATTTGTTATTTAAGTTATCTTCTTTATTCAATCGTTCATAGAGGGATAGTGTAGTTTGGGTCTCTTTATAACATATGTGATTTGTACAATTAATTGCACTATCTACTAGTATAACCAGATTATACATCCAATGATGTTAATGATTGTTAGCATCTTTAGGAAATCTTCTACACGTTAGAAGTTACAACATTATAATTTGAACTAATTGTGCAAATAATGTGCTGTTATTATTAGCTTCTAGTATCTCTGGGAACATTTTAGATTACAGTTCATCTGTTGAAATTGAATAGAGTAAAAATAGCTTTCCAATAACAGTTTTTTTTTTTACCCAGTAGATCCTAACAAAACACAGTATATTCGGTTGCATTTATCATAAAACCGTGTAAGGGATTTTGACTCACTATTACGGTTAATTATTTAACTTCGATTATATGAAATATATATCCCTGAAATTATTTTTAAATCATCCCAACGCCATTCTTTCCTTTCCTTTTGAGTCTATTGTGATCAGGTGTTAGTAAGTGTACTTGTCTTCTAGGTTCCGACGTGGGTTCAAGCAGTTCTTTTCCTGCTGCCCGTTCATACACCTGACGCCGGACGGTCTGACACGACGAGAGGCGGTCACCAGTAGATACAACAGCTGTTCCGGCAGTCCAGAGGCTCACTATCGCATCGTGCGCAACGGTAATTACAAATAATGTAGTAAACCTATGATAGAATTGGCAACCTTCTCCATTAAGGACCTTTAACATTTTTACATTACATTTTAAATTATGTCATAGAATTTGTTTCGAATTTTGTTGCTGCCGTTGCTCAGTTGGTATTGCGAAAGAATACAAATCTACAAGTGATGACGTGAGTTTGGACTACCAGAATTATTAATTAGTTAACTCCTGTACACTAAAGGTCTTTATAACATAGAATAGAATAGAATAGAATGTTTGTTTATTTTCTCTTTAAGATCGGATACATATAATACACAGGTCACAATTATTGCATTATAAATTCACATTAATAAAAAGATACAAAACAAATGAAGTTGATTACGACTATAAAGGTTTTGAATAATTATGCTATTTTCAGTCCCTTGCTCTCACCAGGCTGAAATATGACAAATTCAGAAAACGAAAATAAATCATCTTAAACATGAAAAGAACATCTGCTATGTACAATAAGCGTGACCTACGAATTTTAACGTAGAGAAAATAAATAGGGCCTCTATAGGCAAAGCCTGTAGTTGAGGTTCCGTTAATTATAAATTTTACATAAACAAAGAGCGTTCGGAAAGATATAAATTAGATTTGAAATTAAAAACACAATGGTCTTAAACAATTGAAAAGAAAATAAGTAAGAAGAAAAATTATAATTTGAAACACTTGCCAAATAGTCATGCATGTTATCTTGTTATCTTGTTGCTCTGATAACTCTAACGATGCACTGCACTATCACCACCAGGCGGCTGCTAGCCCCAACCCAAGGGCCGTCATAGCTCACTACATACAATGTATAGACCCTGAGTGGCATAGCCCGCCAAAGTGCGCCCTTACTTCTACAACTTAACTTACACATCTTTAACTTTACATCTATAAGAGGTGAAAACCATGCTCTGCTTGATACTTTCCACGCAGATGCACTATATCCATATTAAATGTCTAATGCCAGGTTAATAGATGCCGTGACAAGAAAAATCGTAGAAACCCAATCTCTGTGTTTATATTTAAACTTAACTTTCTAATTTGTTGAAAATTATAGTATTGACAACTGATATTGCTGGCAGCCTTGAGAACTTTGATCATCGATGAACTTGGAATGGTTCATGGTCTTAATGGTTAGCGTGCACCACGTGAGTCTGAAGTAAGAAATGGTTACCACATAACCACATTGTATATACCACATTGTATATTTACACTAGGACCTACAGAATTACATCCCTGCAGACGTACGTGTAGGTTTCCTCGAGTCTGCAGACTTTCAATTTCTAACAAAAAGCATCCCAGCAACAAAAATACGGTATGTAACATAGCAAAACATTGATGATATTTCAGGAGCTGTCCAGCCCGGGTCTATAGAGACAGGTCTGACGGCGCTAGGGGACTCACCCTCCTACTACCATCACACTGCCGGCTACAGGGCGCGACGACGCTGGAAGAACAATGGCACCGACTCTTGACAGGAGAGTCGCAGGGCGGCTCGTGTCCAGACCTGGATATAGCAGCTCTGCCAGACCACACTAACTTCGCTGCAGAGATTTGTATTGTTAATACCAACCTGTTTGTTTTTAAACCTATTTTAAAACTATTTGTTTGTATAAACTGGCATACATAACATGTACTTTTGTATATAGTCGAAGAATCAGTCTATTGTAAAATAGTTTTTACTGAACACACATGCCAGACATCATATCATGTACATATTTAGACAACCGACATTATTTTGATCAGTACAAAACTCTGCATCAAAGTCCGATGCCTATTTGAGGCAACATCTACATGACTTGTATGATATTGCTGTCAGTTCCTCTAACGTATCGTTACCTCTGCTATAGATTACAATATATATTTATACTGTGCAAGGTGTATATCTGTGATCACACTCGACGGGTTTCGTGTAAATATTACCACCATTATATATAATGTATTTCCACTATCTATCAAACTCATAGCACAAAGAAGGGACAATGGTTTATATTTTAAATATATTTCTACGATAAAATATGAAGCTTTATATTTCGAGCCCTAAAGGTTACTACTTTCTAACATATTTGACAAAAAACCATTTAAAATATTGTAATTCAAATAATTAAGAAGTAAATGGTAAGAAGTAAGAAGTATAATCTAAAGAAATTGGTTCATACGTTTAATTTTCTGTATCCAAACATGTAATTAGTGCTAATCAATCTTAGTTCAATCTTTCTATCCTTGAAGTTAATTTATTTCCTATTTATAAAACAGATTGACTTTAACTGTCCGTACCTTTTTGTAATGTTTAAATGTTTTCTCAATTAGTTCAATCTGTACGTTATTTTCAGAATAATACACTTTTCAATTTATGTTTGAGCCTTTGAAGGAACAAGTAACATATTTTTAGTGTTTATATTTAAGTAGATTCTTACATTTTGAATCTAATAAAAATATATTTGAACTGAACAGACTGTCTGATTTTTCAATGATAAATTAAATTTTAAATTTTATAGGTTTTTAAAACATCGGCAATTTCACAATTTATGCACATATCTTATGGATAATATTCTTAAGTGCTTAAATAAAATATAAAATAGTAGTTAGTTAAACGTTATTTAACTTGAATCTACAGAAAACAATTGGATGTTAGTTAATAAACCAAAGGATTTTAATTGCCAAAGATCAAAACTAAATTCACAATTGGATCAATTCGTCCAGTGTTTGAATACCCCAAACAAGCAACAATGTTTGAGTTCCCTCAGAGCTTTAATGGATTTGAACCGATGTATTCCAGCAGTGATGGATAATCTAAAGTTCACTCATAAAGGTTTTCACAAAACGAAAATAAACATATAAAGTGATTTTTCAATAATTGTACGTTTTGAAAAAACTGCATTCAATTTATTAAAAAGAAATTCCATGCGTTCATATATTTATTGTTATACATTGCTTACATCAGCAAATATACCCAATTTATACCCAACATACAATATTTTTTTCAGCTGAGATTACACAAATTATAAAAATTAGCATTTAAAACTGATTATTTTTAAACTCAAAAACATTTTCTTGGTATTTTAAAGCTGCAATATAAGGGACAACATAAAATATAAAGAAAATAAACATCATTTTAAAATTTAACTTTAACATCAGCACAACAAAACATTTCATCAGTTATATTCATTCAAAAAATTGGTACAATCTGTCTATACATGCTCCAAAACCTTGAACTCCCAGATTCTGTATACTTGTAAGGGAAGAAAAACGCTTTGTAATATAAAAATGTACAGAAAATAAATGAATACTCCTCATTTTGATACTGTGGGTAAATTATTTTCCTTCTTCTTTTAACTACTGAATCATCCAGTGATCCAGCAGATGTCTCTAATAGAATAATCTAGGCTCATAAGTACAGGTTCATACAGCATTCATAAGTCTAATTCCTGTATTATCAGTTAAAGTACATTCTTGTAACACGCCAGCCACGTTTCAACGCTGGGTCCAAAATAACCCAAATGTGTTGAACACAATGGCTTCAACCGTAACCGAATTCCTCAAGTTGTTTAAAAAGATCAAAGAGTTTGAAACACGTCGACCTCGAGACAGCAAATACAGCATCCTACAAAACCTAACACATTATGTTGCTAATAAATAGAAATCAATTAGTTTTAAGGCTTTTAGGAAAATAAAGTCTAACATTCTTGTAATGTTTCTGTCACTATACATTACTTAAACTAAAATAAGTTAGCCTTCTGTAGCAGGTTTAAAGTTCACTACCGTTTATTATTGTTTGCATTTTTACTCAAATAGAAAGTAAAATAACTACTACTCCAACCAAATATTCTTTAACTGTTAATCTTTACAAATCCATTCAAACTGTTAAAAGCATCTGCTTTCTACAAATTGAAATTGTTGATTTGGTGCAAATAACTTTGACCATCGGGCGCGAATGGAGCCGTTCGGGAGCTTTACACTGTCCAGCAGGCGGCTTAACAGTCGTGCGTTTATAATTGACGTCTGTTTGTTATTGCAATGCAATCCTGTCCACTGTTTACGATGGTCCAAAAATAACACCTGCGGACTATTGGCTGTCGTGTTTGTGTTAAGAGATTCTTGTTTAGGCAATCAGCCACCGATATTGTAGTCGTTTTGTACGAATTATGTTGACAGTTTGATGGAGATTTAGAGTCTTTAACGTGGTAGATAGGTTGGCTAGCGATTTACATAATTGAAAAGTTTATGAAATTCTGTTATGTGTATGGTAACATAACATTTAGATTTAAATTAATAATGTTACCGGTATACTCTTATTTTATGTTTTGTTTCACAAATATACATAACTCCAATTGTAAAAAATTTAAAGAATACCTAAATTAACAAACAACAATTTTACTATGAGGGATATATTGGAAAAGATATTTTTAAAATACTTCTTGATAATTTAGTTTTGAATGATAATTGTAATTACTAAAAAAAATATAACAGTTATAAATATGGAATTTAAATACCAAAAGCCTTCGGAAGGTTTATTTGTACAAATTGTGGACAGCGCTTAGCCTAAAAGGATAACTAACGATCATGTCTCATTGTTTTTGTTTGTCACCACACATCTGAGCGAGAGAAGCAATCTATCACTTAGACAACAACTTGTCACATTCTTGTCTTTTGTACACTAATGTGCCTTATCGGTCTGATAATTGGCTAAACTGATGGCACTATTGGTTATATTTTTGTCCTGACATTTAGCAAATGAACTTTAAATGTAAAAAATGTGTCAGGATTCTAGTACAAATAATTTACCTAATTTTACGTATCAGTACCATATGTTATATGCCATGTAATGGTTGTGCTTTGAATTGGTAGACCTCTGCACACATCTGTGTCAACACATGTAATATATCCTCTAGACAACGATATGTCACATTCTCTCTGATAAACACCAGCGTGTGTCAGAACGGTACACTTTCTGACACTATGTGTTGTTTTTCGGGTTGGCAGACTTTTCTAAACACACACACCTGTGTCAAGACATCTAATACATCACCTAGACAACAACAATGTCACATCCTTATTTTATATTAACATAACTAAGCCAAACATCTTTTGTGTTGATTCTTGGTTTGGAAGATTTTTGTACACATCTGTGCCCAGACGTGTATTACATCGATTTGTCACATTTCTGTCTTTTATCAAGACCACCGTGCAATCTCAGTACGATACGCTGAATGAAAGGTAATGCATTGTTCCTTGGATTTAATAGATCTACAGGGAATGCCATAGACATTCCTTTTTCTTAGCAAATGACTAATATTGGAAAGTGTATTTTTTTTTAAGGAACGTGTGTTTTTTTATCCTTAATACTAATAAGTATAATGTTTGTATTTAAGTTCTATGTTTCGAAGCAAAAGCTTAAAAATATTAAAAATAAATATTATGTATGCCAAATTGATAGTTATGATCATATTAACAGACTGATACGCTTTAGGCTATGTGCAAGGTTGGTACGTATTAGCTTGTGAATATCATTTTCCTATCCAATTTCTTTTCTTTAGTCGTTATATTTGAAGCACTGATTATTCATATAGCAGTATACAGTAGTTCTAATGACCGTAGCACCAATTATAAGATCAAAAATATATTCCTATATATACTTAGATAATATTAACATATACTTAGACCTCTCAGTGTACGCCTTACGGCTGATCGGTCGTCAGTATTCTATACAATCTTAACATTGTTGAAAGCGTCATAAAGACTTTAAAGAACCGTTTGAATAAGTAATGCTACTCAACCACCATTTTGATTCTACTACCAAGGAGGTCCTGCCAAAGAAGTATGTAAAATAAGCGAATAATATTCTATTTCAGGTACACAATGATTTCGACAAGTTATTTCTCCTATGCCTAGTTACTTAATACAGTAGGTTACACACCTAACCTCTAGCATATTTAGTTAGAGGGAAAAATTAATGTTTGCTTGGTTTAGGTAGCATATTTTAATAACATTATTTAGCATAATTTTTTTTACGTAATGGCAAGTTGAGGGCTCGGCAGAACACATATTTAATATCTGGGTGACGTATTTCACTATTATAATTTTGAAAACTATCTTATCTCCATTTAACAATACCATAAAATTACAAGATGAGGAATAATTAATAAGGATTGTTGGATTGGTAAAAAATAATATCTTCAGAACAATTCTAAATTAAAGTAATATATAGCTTATAGTTTTATATTGCATTTTGAAGAAAATACCAACTATCAAAAAATAGGCTCGGTTAAAATTGCGATGTGTAACACTTTTTAAACCACAGAAACTGTCAATATGAAATACAGGCTGTGAAAGCTCAGCGATTTATTCAACTTTGAATGTTTTAAATCAACGGCGTAAAACTGTTGAGAAGTATTTGAGTGTAACTAATACCTTTCCGTCAAACACGCTCATAAACTTTCGTTGAAAGCGTTGAAAAAGCGGATTTATTCCACATTATATTATGAGTATTTAACATGTAAATGAAAATAACAGAATTTAGGTTGCTATGGTATTATTAATGGAACATTTACATGTTAGGTTACTTACATATGGATATATAAAAACGCATATTTTAAACTGAAAGTATTGATAATATTTCCCAACTAATGAAGAAAAAGGCTGATTTAAAATTACCTACGACCAAAGAAATATAGATCTAAGAAAATAATTTGTAAGTGAAATAAAATACCTTATGTTAGATGCATGATAACGTGAAATCTATATGTAATGTTAAAGGTATTCCTTACGTTTCATTCTTGATACCAATCTAATTATTTCTCAATCATTTTAAAAGAAGAACAGCTTTGTGTGTTGTAGTATTAGAGCACAGGGCCTTCCAGGTTAATGCCCAATATCTAAATAATAATTTCTTTTTCATATATTACATTGCCATAGAAGTGTTGAATATGTTGATATAATGGTAAATATAAATGTATTAGTAAAAGTTACTACACGTTTCGATAATGTTTTATAAACGATCAAACAAGTTTCCTGCTTCAATCAGTGTAAGGTACTTCTCGTGGCCATAAAAAGCTTTAAAAAATGTGTACGTATTTCATATAAAACATCGCAAACTTTCTGCATGTAGAAATTAATAAATAATTTAAACTACTAAAGGATATTTAAAATCTTCCATCAAAATTTTCCTACAAATAGCTTTTGGAAATTAAGTTAAAGCCAAATGGTTGGTTGGAACTTCACAATAACACACATTCACACACGAAAACGCGCAAATAGAGTGCTAATCGGATTATTCTGAGTGAACTATACATTTGTGGGGGAAATTAACACCCCTGAATTTGCTTACGTCCATTAAACATTTTTAAATACACT